CATAGCTTACCTAATGTTATTAATTCTAGAGCATTTCTATAATTCTGTCAGTGAATCCGGTGAGCAGCGCCGACGGCCAATATGATGTTACTGTCATAAAGAAGTCAGTTGAATAGTCTTAGCTCGCAGAGGCGTACAGTAGTTTTTGCACAGGACGATTGATCTGATCGTACTTCAAACTCACCGTCTTCACTCCCCCCGACAGGCGACAACCGGCCATCACTCAGCAATGTTTGCCGGGAAAGATATTTTGGATAGCCGCATGACGGTCGAATCATTTGTTCGAGATTGGGCTTCTAGAGGAATCTCAAGGTACTGCTCACTAGAGAATTAGCCAAAGAAGAAGTTTGGTCGATGTCTTTTGCAAGACTGATTCGTAGCTAACTAATCATATCATTCTCATAGATCATATCTAGGAAAAGCGATTCAAATCGCGATAAAAAGCGATTGTTTATGTTAAATTTGATGCTGGTCGCCATCCCTACTGAGTACGAGGAACAAGGTTACGGTTGCCAAAAATGGCCGCGCCAAATTTCGCAAAATTTTTTCAAGAATCAGATTGTAGAGGGAAGAATTTGGCTGAAGAGTTCATTTTTTAAGAACAATTAGCCAATGTTTTATAGCTACATTTTCGATATTGGCATAGATCCTCAGTTTGCTACTCATAAAAACCCTGGAAATCAAAGGAGTAACTTTTGCGATAACAAGCTGCATTCAAGCAGGAGATGCTCTATGTAATGATGTCCTGATCTTTAACTAAAGACTCGCTTTTTGAGGTTCACTACGACCATGATATCATTTTAGGGGAAAGTTGGTATTATCAGTTACCGCAATACCCACGACAGCCAAACTTCTCGTTGAAAGACGCAGTTCCGAGCCATTCCTCGGATTGCCAACGGTGTCGACGACGCAGTCTGCAATTGAGCCTATGTCTCAAACCGAAGCTAGTTTTGCCGTTTTCAGCAACGATTATCATAATATTAAAACTTCTAAATCTAGTACTAAAGTCCTATTAAAGATTCACTACTATCACATTGTAGATCTGCCAACTTCTCGAGGATAACGGCACCGATTGGCACTGGCAGTGGCTCGACGATGTCGGTGTTCCAGTTTTGATTCGTGGCACAGAATTTGTTGCGTACGACAACGAAAAGAGTGCAACAATTAAGGTAAGTATAGTCGAACTCATCGATTATATTAGATACCTCGGAAAGGCGTTCTTTACAGGCGACTTGGAGCTCCCACAATAACCTAGCGGGCCTTGCAATTTATGGTTTGCCATATGATAATCCTGAAGGAGAATGCCCTGATCGACCGTTCCCAATACTGCAAAGCATCGTCGATGCTCAGGTATATATTGTGACATGATATCGGATTATTTCCGAACCTTACTATGTATACTAGGTATGCTCTCTTTGCGCAACTGATGACGACTCGAAGTGCTCTCCATCATTCCACACGTCATGCAACTACAGACTGCCAGAATATGAAGAAGGTGAGCTGCATCACAGTTAA